CACGTATCACAGTGGAAACGTTTGATGTTGTTGCAAGTAACGTGGCCTGATTATTGAGACGTAAAGCCCCGATCGGATGATTATGCGCATTTATCACATTCTTTGAATGCGATAAAAAGCAAATATTTTGTACAGCAACTAAATGAGAAATAAATAGAAGAATATTTCACATCTGTAAGTTTGGGCTATTTCTCGTTCTTTACGATATATTATTTAAATATCATAAATTTATGCAAAAAAATTGATAAATCACAAGAAAACGTTAAGCACATAGCCAACGATAAAAATGTTCAAATATCCCTATTTCAAAAGTTTAATATATTTGTGTTCATTGAGGAAGGCAGAAATTAAGGTTGGTAGTTTTTGATCATCGATTCCTACTTCAGAAAATAATGTAATGTTTAGTAACGCTTTTAAAAATTCATATCTTACCTAAACCTTCAGTTTCAGAATCGGGATAAACTAAACGGGGTTTTTCTTCGCCTGTTAAATCCATTAGTAGTGAAAAGTTGAGTGGAGCCCGATGAATTATAAGCCTAACATAACTTTTTAGATCTTCATAGTTACTCTGAAATGGGAATTGACATAATTAATATTAACTGCTTACTTCTATTTCTCAATGTGCTGTTTTGCTATGTATGCAATCGTCTGGTCAGCGCTTCCTTATCTTCTATCTTATGGCCTTCTGGCCAGTGCTTTCTGATTTTCTGTTCAAGTATTCTGTTTATTAATTTTACTAAATTTTACTAGCATGTTAAATGTGGAAAATTACCATTTTTCAGAAGAAAAAATGTAACTAACTTACTGTATGTATACGAAAACAATGTATTTCGCTCTCGAGACCGACAGCTATTATCTGCAGTTCATACATTCTTTTAAAAGCGGTTATTTGAAGTTCAATTCCTATTCTTTTTTAGAAGTAACTTTAGAAGTCTCTAAGATTTATTCTATCTGATGACTTACATAACAAAGCTTTATTTATTATGGTGGATAGTTAGTGAATTAATTGAGATCTCTTGAAAGTGAGATATAATATTATCATATGTAAAGTCTAAGCAAAAAGAATTTTAAAAGAAAAAAACAAAAAAATTTCACTTTTAGATATTATCATCAGATGATATTAATTGCGTAAATCATTAGGCAAATCATGACTTATTCAATGATTTATTTATAACATAAAGTATTGAATTAAATCAAAAAGAATACCGATGTGCATGCTTTCACATTGAGGATTTTTTGAGCAAAATGAGTTGAACTGGTACAATCTTTCAAGACAGCATCATAAAAATAAAGTGTTTGCGGAATTTTTCCAAATACCACTGCAAACTTATGTATTGGTGGAAAACTTTCAACCAATAGGACATCATTCACAACTGTAAATGTCAAAATTTTTCAAAACAAATTAAAATACTAATAAATTAATGTATGAATGAATGCTAAAAAAAAAATAAGAAAATAATGAAAATTAATGTTAAATTTATAATTTTGATTTACTTTGATCTGTATTTGTTTGATAAGAATTACATTTGCGTTATCACACGGAATCACACTTGTACGTGATAGGAATCACACTTACACGTCATATAGTCTTTCTGCATCGGTTGTCTGCTCATTTCAAATATTAAACGTGGTGTTACATCATCAGGCCTTGTTTTATAGACTGCAAAACCATAATCTCCGCCAGCAACCAATCTGCTGAAATATTCAAATAATTCAAAAGTTGATGAATGAATTATGCAGCAATTCGATTACAATAATATATGAATATTTGTGAGATGAATGGATGTTTGCGCTTAGTAATATAGCTGACCTAAAATAACTTAGTAATATAATTTACTTAAACAATCTTTTAGATCTTTCTTATCAACTATATTGATATGATTATTTACATTGAATGATTTAATTCACATTTACAATATTACATGGAATGAAAGTAAATGAGAGAGAATGTTACGTTTAAATCGTTTTGAAAAATTCATTTGTATCTCATTCATTTTACTCTCTATATTCACTTACTCTACACTACGGCTGAAATTTATGAATGTCAATTCAGGATCAGTTTCATCTTTTGTAGATGTTTCAGCAGAGGTTCCAGGCAAAGATTCCGCCATACCTTGAAAATTAAATTCTATTAAAGAATTTGAGAGGAAAGATAATTATCATGGAAAAAATCGATAATGATGTAATTTATCATTTGACAAACGAAAAAAAGAAGGTATTCTCTCCTATTCGTTAAGATTTCTCAAATATTCTCATACTATAAACAGAATATTGAAGAAAGAATATAATTATACTTATTCCGGTAGTGATGAAAAGAGTGATTCATGCATCCCGGAAAATTTTTTTGCTCCATAAAATGAGAATGATAAGTGACCTATTATGGATTACAAAGGAAGAATACTGAAGCATTCTTTGCATCCATTTGGAGATCACTTATCTTATCATTCTTTCTGTTCAGCTATCCGATATATTTGACATAAATATTTAGCGCTTTTAAGGAGAGAACGAAAATTATCGTTATCCGATTAATCTCAATCAATTGACCTCCAAATATCTTCCCCTTTCAATGAGTGTTGATATCATTTTTCGCCAGTATACTAATAAATCTCGAGAAGTAAATTTCATTAAAACTTTTTCATTCATGTATAATCAAAAATCAAGTTGATATTTTTTACTTTCTTATGCAAAAAAATTGATAAAATTATTTGGAAATGTATAATTTTAAGCAAAACACTGATGTGAATAAAGAATTCAGATGGTATTTAATGGTTTTTCACTTTGTTGGAATAATTTTTAGGTTTTTAAAATGATTTGTAGTAGCAAATGGAATATTGATTTCCTGTTTTGTTTAGCAACTTTGAACGAGTGGAAGGATCCATTAGAATTTATAATTTATGCTTGAAAGTTGTCTATATTTTAGCATTATATTCTGAGAGATAATGAAAAGTTTTATCTTTGGTATTTTTCTGCTAGCACTTTTAATTATTTATAGCTCTTTATCCTATGATAATTTTGCCATATCCATTTTCTGAAATTTCGCTTTCTTTTTTCCCTTTGTTTCTTGCTAATGCTACCGCAATCATTTTTTGAATGACATTAATAATTTTTGATTTTTTGCATCCTTTGTTTAGTTTCTCGAAACATTAGTGTGAAGTTCAAAAGTAAAATTTTTCCATTTTATTCCATAGCTCTTTTAAAATTTCAGCATATTTTACAAAATTTATTCCAAATCTTCTATCGTAGGCCGATTTTATGGCAGTAATAATAGCCGGCAACCTTGGCTAAAAACCGTCATATATTGATATTTAAACGGAAAAAAGTGCTAATTGAAATAGAAATGTTAGAAATGAGATGAAACAAAGAAAACGGAAATGATTGAAAAGGTTGTAATAAATGGATTGATGGGACGATCGTCAGCATCCACAACAAAACGATTAGCGATTACAATCAGAAGCGAAACTGTCAACAATGGAAGCAGCAATTAAAATCGCATTATCGATACCAAAATAAAAGATGACATTATGGAAGGGATGATAAGATTCTCGACATCAATATCGAAAAGCAAGCGAGATAAATCGAGTGGTACCAAGAAACTTTAGTGGCAGAGAAAACGAACAAAACTCAACAGAAATTAAATTTGCTGCATCATTCTTCTCTTTTTAAACGGTGTATATTAATAAAATTTGATTATACTTCCGCCATTAAACCGCAGTAATCTGAGATTTTCATTGAATAAATAACAAGTAATGATGGATGCATTTATGCTGCTACGTAGTAATTAACTATTTCCACCATATTTCTTTGGCCATTCATTAAATTTTGATTAATTGTGGATCACTCTAACAGAAGTTTGTTTGCACGATTAAGATCAAGCAAAGATCAAGCAAAGTCTTCGCTCTGATATCTTTCGGACATGGAAAGTTTTGAATGGAATAGAGAATTTCATTTACAACAATGTAATTGAAAGTTCGACAAGCTTTCTTTTTTGTCACATTTAATTGCACTCAAACGATTATAATTTTTTTTCACTAATTATTTCAGTAATATTTTCATTTTAATTACATGAAATATTTCATAATGAATAGTTCTTTGTTATGATATTTGCAGATATGAAATTCTTGAACTGATGGCATATTAAAATATTTGATATACAACAATAACACAAAGTAACCAACACATAAATTCCAATTATTGTTAAATATTAATCTTCAAATTAAAAAAAAACAAAAGTAATAAATAGTACACACTCACTTCTTTTTCTTTTGATTTTATGGAAATGATGAAATGAAAGGACATTTTGTGACTGAATTCCTGTTTTACATATTTTAATTGACTCTGCTCATTTTTTTTTCAATCTTTTAATGTATTACTTGATAATTTTGTTCGTATAATAAGCGAAAAGTATTTTAGACAGTTTCAACTAATTTCTTACGCAATTTTATGGAATATGTGAGTTTTACAAATCACTGTTTGTTGAAATACTGCACTGTACGAATATCTCAACAGTGCTTCATTATTTTTCCCAAACTTCATATTTCCTATATGAATTTAACAAAGCCGGAAATATTGCTGTAAACTCAACGAAAGAATAAATCCAATACTATCCTTACATTATTGCATAACTGGATCAAAGAAAAGATCATATGAATGAAAAGTGAGATTTGTAGATGAAATAATCCAATATAATAGTAATGGAGTAATAGAATGATAATTATCACAGTTATTGTACTTGATCCGAATGTAGAAAAAGACTGAAATAAGTGGGAATAAGAGCACAGGAATAGTATTAATGAAAAATATCTCAATCAATTCCGATAAAAGCCCATATGATGATATTCTGAGATCTTTGGTCAAAATTTTTGATGAGCTGAAAGTATTCCATTTCAGCGACAAATGCATTTACTTGCAAATTTTATTAAAGGTCACATTTATACGATTAATTTGATGCAACTGACCAATGGGTAATACATAATTCTTTTCCTTGAGAAATGCTAGTAGCACACTGTAGACAAACCACATAAAAAAGCTGCTTGCCGCAAAATACCAAACTTTGCAAGCAATACCGGAAAACAGATGTTGGAACGGGATGACTAAAAAAACTTTCCGAATGATATGATTCAATACTGCACTGTAGTTCGTCTTATTAATTATCTTCCTTATTCCCTCAACTTTCAAAAAGAGATAAATTTCACTTTGTATTCTTAGAATAAAATTTTCTCAATAAGTTATGCAACGTTAAAAAAACTTTTCGAAATCTATAATTTCCAATAAAATGTTCCATTTGCATTGCTTATTGATTTTCCACTTTCCGTCCCATTCCAGACGAAACAATGAATTAGATAATCTATCCATAATTTATAACATACTGAAAACTACCAATAAGCATATGAAACAAATTGATTATAGGTGAAGCCGATCAATACTGAGTTGATCATTGGAACCTTCTCAATTTGACACGTCGTGGATACTTAGCGAATTACCGCGGATGCATAATCCATCTTTCAGTTTTCTTGAATTATCTGATAGTCTTCCGAATAATCTCATCCTTTCGCACATATGAGCAGTTTGGAATATAGTGGATTACCGAGCCGTCCTGTGGAACCAGGAAGTTCGGCTATGTCTATGGGTAAGTTGTCGGTACCATTCCTGACTAATTTTAACTAGCATCTCAATTGGATAAATAGTATAGTTACATTAATTTTAAATAGTATAGTTACAGTATAGTTATGTGAATTGAAGTAAAAAAGTAATGTTGTAACAGATGTATGTAATGGAATAAAAATTCAAAAAACGACGGCAGGTGCTTGCCGAAAATGTGGTTATCCTGGGCATCTTCCATTTCAATGTTACAATTTCTTGCGACCTAGCGGAGAAAACTGCGCAGATATTTCTTCTACAAGTTCAGAGTCCGATTACGAAACGCCACTTACTGCTAAAGGTACGAAAGTAATATGATACTCACTTTACATGCTATAGCTACGACACTGTAAAACGTGATGTGGGATCACTTGAAATGAAAACGATGTCGGTATTGATTGTTATTTCCTTAATCTACAAATTATTTATTTTACGAGGTTAGAAAACAAATAAAATAAAATTAGTTTATATGAAAGATTTAGCATTCTTTCCTATAAAAAATTCAGGGAGATTTGATATTTGCAGAACATAAACGAAAAATGAAACGAAGAAGTAAGAAACATAATCATCGCGGACAACATAAAAAGCGGGAAAGGAGCAACGATGATTCAACAAAGTGTAAGATCAAAAAGAAGAAAAGGGAGAAGTATCTTGAATCATCGTCCGTGCAAGCGTCAAACTTAAAAATGAAAGTCGAAACTAGACGCATTTATAGGAAGTCATAATTCACTAATCCATAATTAATGGATTTGTATTTGGAACGAAAAATAAACTTACGTCTTACATAGTCAAGATTAACATGAAAAAAGACAAGAATTGCAGTATATGCAGCAGGAAATTCATTTACGCGTAATATGAGATATTTCCGGAAAAGCAAGTTATTACCAGAATGAAGCTGCTTTGCCTCCATCTTTACTAATATTTAAAGATCTTGCAAGCGCGCTATTCCACCTATTCTTGAAAACTTGATAGAAGTTCATCACAGGGAAAAATAAGATTAAAACACCGAATTTGTATACCTTCGGATAGATGCAGATAGAAACCATATGCTTATCCTACTCTTCTTTTTCTTCATCACGGTACTGCTGCTCTGAAAGAACGACAATGCCAGCAATTATTTGATCAAAATGACATTTTCAAAATAATCTCAGATATAGAAAATATTTTGCATATAAATGCTAACGATATAATAGAATGAAGTGCATCATAGTATAACCAATAATTGATATTCTGATTTAAATGTTAATAACCCACCAAAATATTTATAAATATCAGCATATTTAGTAATATAATTCTGTTTAAAAATACGTATTCGCCGAAAAATAGATTCCAAATCCGATTTCATTTCCAATATTAATTGTCTGTTCTCGGCTAAATCTCTCCGTGCTTTTTCAAGTCTGTTAGCCGATAATCCACAGCAATTTGTTAGCATCTCATTTGTTTTCTCGAAATGTGTTAACCTGAAAATGCTACGAATTACTTCTTAGCATACTTGTGAATGAAAGAATTGTTATATTTCTGTGTATGATAAATCGCTTATTAAATTTGTGTTTTTTTCATCACGCAGCAGAAATTGAATTACATGCAAAAATGCTGCACTTTATATCTTCGTGTTAACATAAAGCATATTATTCCATTTTTATTTATACACTTCTTGCTAACATATGATAAATCATGTACACATATATTATGCAACTTCCGCACGGTTTTTCGAAGATCGCATACTTTTGTAGCATATAAAACAGGAATCTTACGATTTTTTTTGCAATCGTATGATCTCAGTAATGGCTTCATCGTCAACCTGTGATGTAAGCGACTCAACCAAATTTTCCTCACTGTTATCCGTTGATGTAGAAGCGAAGGTATCAGTCATGAATACACCTGCAGCATATATTCATTTCATTTTAAACAGGAAGAAACCGATATTGACTGAATCTATCAAATCCTGATACAATCACTCATCACTAAAAGTTTCTAACACATTCCGGAACCCAACCACCGCACTAACCGATTTCTATATTACCTGTCAGGATTTGGTATTTGACGGTTTGTGATGTCCGATGCTAATGTGCTACGTGTTGGAGAGTATTTTCAATATTTACGATGTCCGTGGGAAGTTTTGTTGCTCGTTGACCGGAGGAAAAGTTAATGTTGCATTATTGCAAAATGTTATTTCAAAAGTTTTGGACTGATTAAATTGGATAGTGCAGTTTTTCAAGAAATTTACGCAAATTTGGATTAGTTTTTGATTGGTATTTTGGTGGCCAGTCTTAGATGCTTGAATTTAAAATTTGTTCGATTTATCGGGAATCAAAGAAGTCTGATTTTTCGGCTGAACCACTTTTTAAGTTCGATTTCAAATGTTCTCATTATTTTTAGATGTTTCGATTTCCTGTTAAACGAATGTTAGCTGTATGGATTTGGCCTTTGCTTGCTGCAACGTTAATAATAACTGATTGGCGTACCATGAAACGTTTAAGAGCAACCGGACATACAACCATTCTTGATGCAATGCGTGACGAGAATACTACCCACGAGATAATTTAGGTTTGATATTTAAACTATTCAAATTATATGTTCCAGGTCATTTTCTCGTCCAGTCATCTATAAATGGGAACATTTACGCTGAAATATTTTTTCAAGAAAGCAATTTGGGAGAAGAAAACTTTGTGGGCGTCAGTAGCTGTAATGGCATATATCGGTGAGCCTGCTCTTTCCGCATGTTTACTTTGAGTCTGAGATATTTTTCTAATCACTGCAAATCAGTACCTAGATCTTGATTTCTGGATTGTTTTTAAATGGAAGCAGTTTACCAACTTCATGTGGTACTTTTTAGCAGACATCCTTCTTTGTCCTCAGCAAGTTTCTTGTTTTTTTTTTTCACTGGATACCTGAAAGTAACCTTTACAGTGTATTTTCCAGAGCCACATTATCATTTGTCCATGTTACTGTATTATTTAGGCAGACAAACGACATAGTGCTTCGAAAAAGAAATAAAATGGTTTCTCACATCGTTAAATTGAATTGTAAGATTAAATTGAATTGTTCTTTGGGCTTTTTGATGGGGTTGGTAGTGATGATATCATTTATCATAATAAGCGAATTTTCCTACTGGGAGGAGGATAAAAAAATCTTTCCGTAGAAAAAAGTCTGTTAGACATTCCATCTGAGATTAATTTTTCCTTTCCTTCTCTTTCTTTCTTCGCCCATTTACGTAACAATGAAGAGATTTAACATTTAAAGTCACTTGGCAGAAAAGTTATTAATCTATTTCGAGTAGTTACAATGCCAATTTCCAGACATAAATAGACTTTAAATTAGTTTGGAAAATTGATGTTCCCATTTGATGCAAGACAGTGTAGAGAGTAAGAGACAACAACTACTGTTTAATGCCATCAAATTATTGGAAAATGATATTTCAGGTTACTGTTTCGATCGGCAAGGTATGTACAAAGCAAGCATGATGAAAGGACAAAGCAAAATGTTTGCCAGTCGAATTGCTGAAATACCAGAAGGCCAGGATATTTGGAAGTATTAGTTACTGTCTATAGAGTCAAGCGTATACATTGTAGAATTTGTCGTAACCATCTAATAACGTTGTTCTTTTTTGATTGACTTTATATTGGCATATTTCGGGATAAACTAGGCTATAAGAGATGGCAGCAAACATTAAAACAATTCTGCAATACCAGCAGCCTCATATGTTTATGTTTTCACTAGTAGTCTAACAAACAGGCACACTAAACGGAGTGTTTCGGTCGTTTAAGAATATTGCGAAAATGACTGCAATACACCTTCTCGATGATGGAAATCTCACTACCGCCGCGCAAGATAAGCATACGTATTTAGTGCACTATCTGTAGCTTTGATAAGCTCAGAAGAAATCCAATTCCTGAAGACCTACTATGGTCAGATTCCGGCTTTTATAAATTCCGTCTTTACTAGTAGATTATTCTCTTCTCCATCTATACAGATGACCCACAGACGATGATAGCTGCGTTTAGCTTACCGTTTATTTCGATAGGAAATAGTTCGGAAATACAGTGACGAATCAGATAACGTCTATTGTAAAACGAGCAAAAAAAACAGAAAAGAAAAAAAAGAATTGACAGCCAATAAATAATTCAGTGGTGATATACAAAAAAGCGATAAAAAGATACGTTTCGATTTCGAAATATCATTTGTGTATACATAGCTCATTAATCAATCTACTAATTTTTAGCCTTTATGTCTCTGCCCCTGTTGTGGAGTGTCAAGATTAGAGCCATGAATTAACTAGTTTCTTTGAGGTCATCTATTTTTGCTTCTGCTCAGATATGCAATGGTCTTAGACAAAAAGAAACTGATACTACATATCTGAGAGACAGAGTCTGTCTCCTTTTTGTTCTTAACCGTGCTCCTCAGTTCCCTATAGCAACAAATATTTTAAGCTCACTGGTGAAGATACAAACAATATATGATAGAAAGTGCCTCTTAAATAGATTCTGAAATAAATAAAGGAGCCTATGATGGACATGAGGTAACAATCACTGGATGACAAACACTTTTTATACAGGCACCATTAATAATTAGCTAGAACTATTCGGAAAATGATCGTTGGAACTCCGATGGATTCTCTACGAGATGTCATCATCATCGTCAATCAGGCTCACATCTTTTCCACATCCTGGACAATCGGCGTAGCATGATACGTCTAGTAATTCTTTGTAAGCTTTAATATTACACCATAGGTGATATTCACAATCGCGCCATCGATTCCATGTGCCTATCACACGTAACTGTGGTAATCGATGTAGCAGAGCCTGCGGGACAACTGAAAATATTCCTTACATTATTTGTAGCATAATATTTCTATATCCAACAATAAAGAATGAACGGGTATCAGAACTGTATTGACCTTTGCAGAAACTTCAAAAAACAGAAACTTTGCACCCACTAAACTACAAATATTTAAATATGGTGAAAAAAACTTCATTGCTATCTATTCCAACTCTCCACGATATCCAGCCGTAATCTCATATTACAATGAACATATTTTACATATATACATCTGGAAAGAAACGTAAACTCACTACCGCTCTGATGATCTCTGTTACCACCCAAAATGACGGCTTCGATATAAGGCATAGCTTCACGATTGGCTAGTAATTCGTAGGCTTGCTTTGTAACTGGACCCGAATGACAAACCGCTATCTTGGTCAACATTCGGAACTCCATCAAAGCTTTCATTATGCCCTCTGATGTTACTGATCTCAGATCGCGCACATAGAACGTATCCAATTGAGGACAACGCTAAAAACTTCATTTATTTTATTTTGCTTGACATGTACTGAAAATAATCAGTAAGTCAAAAAAATCGTTGTTTGACTCATTATTATATCCCAAAAAAGTGTGTATGGTATGTGACCTGT